ATGGCTGGAGCGCTCAGACCGCTGCCTTGTCAGCACTGCCCTGCCAGAAATGAGCCAGAAATGGGCCATTCCTCAACCCCTTGGTGGCCATTGGAGACACAGAGCAGCCCCAGCTCTGAGCCATCTCTGGAGGTATTTCATCCCTAAAGCACACGGCTGGATGGCTGAGCAGCTCCTCAGGAAGGGGAGCACTGTCTGTTGCTCTCACACACACTGCAGATATGTGCGCCCCAAGCCCTGCTTTGCTCACACAGTGTGACAATTTGCTGCTTGCACCCCACAGCCTCCAGTCACCATCAGAGGACAAAGGTCAGCCCCGTCCCAAACAACCCATGCACTCCAAAGCCCCGTTCTTTCTTGTATTACTGAATTCCACACGAGCTTTGCCAACGTTTCAAATAGGATCAGAGTCATGCTGGGCCAGCTTTAGAAACCTGTGGCATCCAGGCTGGATGCCAGATCCCAAAACCCAAATACTGTGCAGGAATCAATGCAGGGAGGGACCCACGCGGCTTCCTGCGCCCCACACAGTGATCCCACTGCCCCACATAGGGGATCCACACCCATTCACAGAGCAAGAACGTCTGCTCCCATGTCATGGTCCTAAAGGGTGGGTTGGGGTTGGACTTGGGGATCACAGTCATTTTCTCCAATGCGAATGATTCCATGGTGTATGATCTTCCCTCTCTTTTTTCCCCCTGTTACCAGCTGCTGTCTGGACTGGCATTTCCAAAGTCTCCTTCTCAGACAGCTCCATCTCCATTCCATTTCTTTGAACACAACAGTTGCAGCCTGCAGGGCAGGTTCCCTGCTCCAGCCTTCCAGCCTGGGGGGCTGTGCAGTTCTCTTTGCACACAGACAAGGGAACATCCAGGGTTCAGCTCCCCCCCAGGCAGCACAGCTGGAGATCAGGGCACCTCTGTGCCAGAGGCAGGCAGGAGGTTCCTTCCCAGATGCTACTGGCACCCAGCATCACTTCCTTCATCTCTGTTACCCACATGTACATACCAACACGTAACACTGCCTCGTAGGATGTTCTATCAGTGCAAAATGTCCCCAGATTGTGAACTGTTTGAAGAGCAGCACAGAGTGAAGCAATCCAGGGAAGGTCCCCCCCCCCAGCACAAGGATCTGCTTTCAGGGAGTTCAACGAATCTCTTCTAATACGCAAGATGAAAATGGAGATGCAGAAGAATAAAGCAGGGCTGTGGTTCCCTGCTGGCCAGCAACAAGCAGCTCCCATTGGTGCTGCAGTGGAATGGGACCACAATGCTGGACAAAAGCTGGATGCATCACCTTGGTACAAGCAAGCCCAAGGCCTTCTGCTGAAGCCAAGCCATGAGGCTTGTTATGGCTTGGAAGAAAAGTGAGACTTTGCTGCTTCAGGAGAAAGCTGGGGCTGCATGCTGGGAGCTCCTTGGGGACAGGGGTATCAATCTTAATAAAGCCACGGCGTGGCAGATAAATCATAATAAGGAATAACAATATATAATAAGGATGAATAATATTAAAGAGGATCGTGGGAGAGAGAGAGCCTGCATGCCTGCAAACACAGCAGCACCAACACAGAGGTGCAGAGAAAAGAAGGCTCTTACTGTGTTTCAAAGGGAGCACATTAAGCCACAAGCAAACAGTGCAAGGGAGGGACTGCTCAGCCCACTGAGCGTGTGTTGAAAAGGCAGATAAGCCCAGCATCAAGATCCAAGAAAAAATATATTTATCATTGTTATTAACAATAATAGAAATAAAACCAGCTTTAATAGCAGGCTGGGTTTGATGCATTCCCCAAATAGAAGGATTTATTAGTTTAAAGCCCGTGTGTTTGTTTGTTTTCCTCTCTTTCCACTCCTGCCCCTCTTCCAACCCTCTTGAATTTTTAATGCACCATTTCTAATGTCAGACGTTTTTCTTGTAAAGGTTTTTCTGACATAACTTTATATCGCTACATCCTTCTGCTGTTGCCATTCCCCATCCTTGTCAGAGCCTCCACTCCCCTAATGAAGTTCATCTCCTGCCTGGATAGTAAAATCAAATGGATACAGGGCTGGAGAAACCACAGTGAGGTGTGTGCATGTTTGTGTGCTCAGGAGTGCAGGGACACCCAAGCAGAGCAGCACCAACCTGCTCTCCTGCAGCCCTGCCATGTCCCTGCATGGCTCTGTGTGTGTGCATGCTTTGCACAGATGTCATTTCATAGTCCTGTGCTGACGGTGCAACTGGAAGGAGATGGGAAGATGCACGCTGCAGGAGCCAGGAGTTTGAGATTTCCCATTCAACAAAGCACCAGGATGCACAGAAGCCCAGTGGTTTTTAGCACCTTCATTTCAGGGATGCCCTGATGGAGTTTTGCAGTGATAACCAATGGGCAAGAGCCCCTCTGCCCCTCTGTGCCTCCCAGCTTTAGCAATGAGGAGAACATCCAACCTCCACCATCTTCCTTTTGTTTCCATCCATGGAGAGTTATATATCTGACATTTCTACAACTTCTGCTATTCTTCCAGCTGCTGATAAAGCTCCTTGATAACAACATGCAATGGAGCTGGGTCTCCTGCTGCCACTGGGACACACAGCTTTCAAACATTAACACCACGTGCATTTGTGATTCCAGCACTGCCCTGGACCTTTAAACCCCCAAAATCTCCACCTGGTCCTTCTTGACAGACAGACTCTAAAATTCAACACCCAGCGCCGTTCTGTCTCCGTTTGGCTGACACTGAAGCACACTTTACACTGCAATCTTAATTGAAATTTCAGGTAGAAATAAATGTAGCCACCTCTCGTTCCTTAATGGATCCTGAGCTGCTTCCTCACTCTGTGACCATTCCTGGCACGACAAGCAGTATCTGTTTTAAACAAGGCCATAATTATGAAGTCTGTGGGTAAATGCAGGGCAGGACAGCGACGCGATGCCATCCTTACCTGACCAGAAAAGCTGGAGCAGCAGGGGCTGAGCAGGCAGGGAAATGCACGTTGCAATGCAAGAACTGCTCTTTTCATTCCCTGCTGCCCTTCTACTGTGGATGCTGCTCAGAATGTCCGTCCCTAGCACAGGACAAGGGGTGCCATCAATCCCTGCGTGCCCTGAAGCCATCATTATGTGCTTCTGTGGAGCCAGCAAGCTCCAGCCTTCTTCCAGGAGAAGGCAAACACTGTTTGTTGGATCTGTCTTGAGTTTAAAACATGCAGCTCCTCTTGGTAGAACTGCACATTTGCTGTCTTTCTGGACCACAGCTAACGTGCAATCAAGTAATTCTGAAGCAGCTCACAGTGACAGCTGCCCGTGGTGTCTCACACATGGCAAGGTGTGTATGTGAGCTTGCTCTTGGGAAGCCTTCTCACCATAAAAGACCTGCTGAGACCTCCTCCCAATCCAAATGAATATGCCTGTCTCAAGGCAAGTACTGATCAAGGAGAAGAGAGTCCTGAAAACCGCAGTGAAATTAAGACAAAGCTATTGGTTTTGCACAGACAGACCCCTGCAATGGGTGGCATATGAAGGCAAGAAGGGAAAGAATGGGGCCTTCATGAGGATGGGTGGATCACAGAAGAGGAAGGAGCGACACAACCAAGAGCTTTGGAGGGAAGATGGTATTTTCCCCTGAGCAGACAATGAGACCAGCAGTGTTCTGCTCTAAGGAAAACAATGGACACAACAGCAAAGCAACAGCTGCACTGTCTGCAGACCAATTATTTAAATGATGGAAATGCATGTAATTTTTTGAGGGGAGAGTACCTTTTCTTATCCAGTGGGCATCCACCAGGAGGGCAAAAGCCAGCCCTGCTGCACAGATCCCATTCCCTGAGATGCTACAGACACCCAGCAGGTTCCCAGCTGCTGCAGGGCACATCCCAGCCATCTCTGCTTTGAATGCTTAGGAGGTGCAGGCTGTGCTGTGTTAATATGCATAGTGTGCCTGCCTTCCCAATTAAATGGAAAATGCTATGGTTAAAACCAGTCAGAAGATATTAGATGGAACTGTGGGTTTTACTTCCTACGCGCTGCAGCCCCATAGGAGTGCAGATGGAGTACATGCCAGGGAGATTACCAAAGGTGAAACAGAGCTGGGAATGGAAAAATGCTTCATGAGAAGGGGGAAAAAATGAGGTAGGGCTGCATTAACACAGAACCTCATCCTGGTCTCTCTGGACCACATCTCTGGGAGGACACCGTGCATCGCTGCTCCTAGAAGCCAAATTTTGGTGCATCACTTGGAGGGGAGAACACTACAGAAGTGGAACAAAGCATAGCACGAGGCTCCTGAGCTTCACCCTTAGAGCTGAGTGGGACAGGCCCTTCCTATGCCCCTCTTAGCATCAGTGCTGAGTTCTCCTCTGCCACCCATCTGGGACAGGAACAGAAACCGCAGCGGAGCAGCGCAGCACGCCGGATCATTACAGTGAAACCCACGAAGATGAGAAGACAAAGCAAGAAATGTTACTAACTGATTGGAGAGACCCCTCTGCCTTGCTGGGAAGGGCTCTCCCAATCACCTGCATGGCTCTAACCCCCCTGGCTGTGCTCTGCAGCTCAGCCCCAGGCCATGCAGCCTCGCTCTTGCTGTGCCTGCGAGCATTGCTGCTCCCTGTGCCCGTGTTTCATGACGTGCATTTAATTAACAGTGATGGCGAAGTCAGGTGTATTTATGGGGACTTCTCATCCTCACACTTACAGCTGCAGTTGCTATGGGTTTCCTACCGGAGTTTGCGCTTTCCTCCCCACCCCCACCACGTAACGTGCACCAGAATAAAGTCTAATAAATTCTGCTGTGTAATTGGCTGTATATTTTAGGAGTCCATCCATCCCCGTGCGGTGAAAAGAGGCCCTCAAAAATACACAGCGAGGACAGAAAGCTCTCAATGGGGGGGGAGAGGAGTCCAAAGCTGTCTGCTGATCTGACAGCACTCAGGAGGATAACAGGGATGGAGCAGTAACAGCACTTGGTGCATGGCAGCATTCCCTCCTGCCAGCTGTTTGCATGGTTCTGCACGAGCATCCTCACCTGGTGTCAGTGTGGGGAAGTCTCCCTGCATGGCCAGATTGACACGGAGCTGAAGAAAGGTCATCAATTGCCTCCAGGGCAAAGAATCCAAACAGAATGCTGTAAAACAAGGAGGGGGGCAGGAATGAGACAGCTTTCCTATGGGCTGCTCGGCGGAGTCAAAGGAGAAAAAGCAAAAAGGATGGAAACACCAGAAAACACACAGCATTGCACCCAGAATTGCATGTCTGAAAAACACCACCCAAACGCTTCTATTTTTCAGTCATGTCCCTCCATTTCAGCCCTCCATTCACAATTTTCCACATTCCATGTTCACTTCCAACGTTAATGTCATTTAAACACCACCTTTTTTTACCGTTTTCCTCTCCTGCAGGCTTCTGATTCCCCCTGCTGCTTAAGCTCTCCAAAAAGCTGCCCTACCTCCACCATGGGAATAAAACACCCACCTGGCAGCAGACAGCTTTATTCTGTTGATCACAAGTCTGCCAGCCCCGTTTATGACTGGACGTGAGATCTCCAAATCTGGATTTACGCGTGGCAGCAGAGCGGCGGGTCAATGAGATTACAAGTATGTTCATCAGAGAGCTGTGAGGCAATTGGAGACGCATGGTTCCGTGGTGATTGGGAGTTCAGCACCAGACAACCAGCAGTAATGAAACCCTGACAGTCCCTGAAAACATTATTCATTACTGCAGCCCTCAGCAACACCCCCTCAACCAAAAGGAGGAGCTGCCCCCCCTCCTCCCTATTCAGATGAAGCCATCTGGGAGATAGTGCTGTTGATAACGGACTGAGTTAACAATAGGAGCACTTCTTTAGCATATTTTTCACTCAAAGAGTGGTGAGGCACTGGCACAGGTTGCCCAAGGAGGCTGTGGATGCCCCATCCCTGGAGGCATTCAAGGCCAGGCTGGATGTGGCTCTGGGCAGCCCAGTCTGCTGGTTGGTGACCTGCACACAGCAGGGGGTTGGAGCTGGATGAGCATTGTGCTCCTTTTCAACCCAGGCCATTCTATGATATGCTTCACACAATGAAAATGGGGCTCCTGGATGAAGCTTCACCCCTCACACCTCCAGCACAGGGCTCAGTGAGCCCAGCCAGGTCATGCAGGCTGAGCCACAGCAAACTCTAGGGTAGTTTGGTTAGGTTACTGTTGGACTTGATATTTAAGGTCTTTTCCAACCTGAGCTATTCTATGATTCTAAACCCCACGTCATCCTCTTCCCTCTTTCAGGGACTTCATTTTCCATCCGTGCCCCTTTTCTTCATTCTCACCACCTAGAGATTTGAACTCAACACCACAGGATGCAACTGTTCTGGTGGGGAAGACACCCCAAACCTCACAGCCACACGGGCTTCATATGAATAAACCAGATTCTCACCTCATACCATGCAAGCAGGGGCTCCCCTGGCCCAGCTATAGGGCTGTGATGCTCCATCCCAGCACACCCTGTACCAGTGCAGAGCACGTGGAGGGCAATGCTTTGGGGTTGGACCGGCTGCAGCACTTAACACAAATAAAAGCAGCAGCAGCAAAGCGCCGGCAGCTCCGCTCTGATTACAGAGCCATTCATTTTCTGGTCGTTAATAATTTGTGCAATAAAAGATTGCGTGCCTTTCTGAGTTAGTAGGAGTTATTGGCACAAATTTCCCTCCGCGCTGGTGTGAGTCTGTGCTTGGAACATAAATTATGAGTTTCTTATCACACTCCTCCTCATTTTTCATGCTGCCATGCTTGGATCGCCAGCAGCCCCTCTGTCTCAGTCCTATTTTATGCAGCGAGAGAAGGCAGAGAGGATGGTTATTCCATCTTTAATTACACAAATCCCTTCTGCATTGCATCCTTCCTAAGCCCCCTCCCCACCTGCACAATGAGGGTGTCCACAGCTGCAGGTGCTCCTCGCTCAGGTGATGCTTCACCCAATTCCATTTTCCAACTATTTCCAGGCCAGGGGGTGGAAATGCACGAAGCACTGAGACTCATTTAAAAGCTATGGAAACATCCTTCTAATTTCTCTGATGCTGAAACGCTCGTTAGTGATGCTAATTGTTTTGTTAAACATGGCAGCTCACACATAAACCACACCAACATCCCTGGACCTTTCCATATGTCAGCCTGATGGCTTTCTGCATTCAGAGCATCTCTTTCGGCGGTGTCCCCGGAACGTTTGCACCAACATCTGCTCAACTTCAAAAGAAGTGCTGACAGCCCCAGACGACAGAACATGTCTGGCATCTCCAGCCGTGCTTGCCAAGGGCTGTGCAAACCCCACGCTCCTGCAGATAAGTGCACTGATCAAATCACAGAGTCATTAAGGTTGGAAAAGACCGGCAAGATCACCCAGTCCGACCATGGACTCACCCCCACCGTGCCCACCGATCACATCCCATGCTACAGATACCCACATCTGTGTCCCTGAACACACAGCTCTGGATGCTCAGCCATTCAGACAGAGTCACAGAATCGTTAAGGTTGGAAAAGCCCACCTGGTCCAACCACCCACCCATCCCTACCGTGCCAGTCAGGAGCTCTGCCTTCTCTTTGCTGCGCTCGCTGATGGAAGAGTGCTTTTCTCTGCAGCACTTCTGCACCCACATCACCTCACCTCCATCTTTCCCCCTCCCCTGACTGCAGCCTCTGCCTCCCGGAGCCTTCCCTGGCTCCACACTGAGAATACCACCCCATGGTGGGGCTGTGCATGCTGGAGTTGTCTATGAGAAGGCCAACAAGCATTGGGGAGCTGCAGGGTGGGGTCACAGTGAGTGCTATTCAGCTTCACCGAGCGTTTACTCCTGCTAAGTGCAAGTGGCCCTATGGAGGCCCGATGGTGCCCATCAATAACAGAGTGATGTGACACACTTAGGGCACCCCTGTGTACAGACATATGCTTTAAGGAAGGTGTGCTGCCCCACTGCAAGAGGATTTATACCAGGGGCCTTGGGCAGGCGTAGCACACGCATAAGAGTGCACTGTCACTTGGAGAGTGATCCATGGCCCAGTGCTTGGCACGTCTCTGGTGATTATACCACACTGGTGAGCCACTGATCATCTCCAAGTGATGCTTATGTCTGCAGGGTAACATCCAACACGTCCACGCCAGGCTCCAGATGCCCACCCTGCATTCCCTTCCTCCCCAGCACAGCTAGCTGCTGCTAGCCACCAGCACTGCCAGCCACCAGCTGCCATCAGCATATATAAAACTAACAGAAATAGAATGCAAACAGTTGCGTGCTTTCTCACCTCTCCCATCATTCCAAGTTGGGAATACCAGCATCACGGAACAAAGGCTCCAAGTTCCCAGCTGCAGCCTGCGACATCTGGCACAAAATGGCACTAACAGACACCAAAGATGACCTTTCCATTAGCAAAAGCAATCATTCTGCATTGTGTGTCTTCTGGCTACGAGGCACAACTCCTGGGCTCTCCCCCTGCTCTCTCAGATCCCCATTCTGTTTGCCAGCACCGCTCTGACTCCTTTTCCTGCTCCCAGCTTGGATTCTCTGGGTTAAAGCTGTAGACCAAACTGACAATCCAGGCTGCAAACCACCCCCCAGAAAGGGAGCTCTTCAGTCACCCTGTTCTCAAGAGGGCAGCTCTCCAAGCCATTCAGGTTGGAAAAGCCCACCAAGTCTGTGCCCACTAAACCACGTCGAAACGATGCCTTTCCCCACATCCCTTCCTCTTTTCCCTGCAGCCAGAGTGCCACTGCTTTATTTCACTGCTGGGAGCCAGGGAATCACAGCAATGCCACACCAACGTGGCTCACAGCAGCACCCCCAAGTACCAAGAACTGGGCAAAACCAACCCGCTGTTCCCACATTCCTGAACGTATCCCTACTTTAGTTGAATTTCCACATCAGCTTCCTGCACGAGCAGAGCTGTCCCTTGTTTTTGCTTCCAGCCCCGTGGATGTTTGCTACCTTTCGATTCCGTGCACAAAGATTCTGAGATAGCAACTTATTACGTTCAGCTCAGCTGTGGAAAAACTGAGGCACAGAGCGTTTGGCACTGCAGAGTCAGGAGCCAGGGAGAGCAGACAGCTCTGCTTCCCTACACAGCAGCCAGACGGCTCTAAAAGGGATGGTGCACGATGCCTGTAAGCACAGCATAATTAATCTTCTTCCTTACACATCCTACTACGAAATTTTAGTGGTTTTTTGGAAGTGTTTTTCCCATCTCTCCCCACCCCTCCCCGTTTGAGCTTTTCGCCTATCTCCCGAAAAATCTGCCAGTTGTGCACGCACGAGCTGTGCTGCACTTAATGAGGCACTTCAGGTTCAATGAGGTCCTTCATCTTTTCAGCTCCAGCTCTCTGCTTCTCCCTTCCAGGCATCTCAGCTGGCTCCTGCACATCCCTGCCGTGGTCCCCCATCTCCTGGGGGTTGCAGCTCAGCGCTGCCCCCCGCCCTGCCCGAGGCGGTGGCAGTGGGGTGAGGACCCCCAGGTGCTGTTCTTGGATCTGTCACTCATTTGCTCTGACCCTGACAGCGAGGCAGGAAAGAGCAATTCTCAGACGTGGGCACCTCATACAATGCTGTGCGCCGGGGATGATAAGCATCCATAGTTCTTATTAAAAAAGAGCAATAATTATGACTGCATCCCAAGCCTCGTACTTCTCTCTTCCCTTCTGCTTTCACATCTCATTAATCCCAACCCCACCTCCCCCCTTACAGCCGAGACTGATGCAAGCTCCATCCATGAGCACAACCTCTGCTCCCCGTGCACTGCTGCCCATGAAGCCTTCCCACGTGTGCCCCAGAGCTGAGCAGAGCAGCACAGCACCCAACCACCTCCTGCAGACCCTTCAGCAAGCAGAACCCACTCCCATTTTCCTCCTTGAGATCCACTTGGCACTGTAACACTCTCACTGCTGAGGCCAACAAGCGTAACGAATGCGTTAGGTCTGTGTGCTGCTATATGCAAGTATGGGAAAGCTGAGTTTTCAGCCAATAGGTCCAGAGAGGTTAAAAACAAAATCATCCTACAGGTCCTTCCCGGAGCCATCAGCCCCTCATACAAGGCTTCCTGATCCTTCCACGCTGTTTGGTACTGCGTGTGTTTGCACAGAGCCAGAGCTTTATTACGCCACACATGCAC